TGTGCTTTCTGTATCAAAAGCTGACAAACTTCTTTAAATTGCACACAAAAAGAAAATGAAAGAGCTTTTTAGTGTCCACCTGATTTCACAAATGCTTTCCTTTTGGCTTTCTGAGAAGCAAATACAGTGGCTCTAGACATCTTAGCCTCTCAGAGGGCTAGGAACAGTGAAAATTCTTGTTTTTCAGGTGCTGGAGGATTCTAGCAGTGAATTAAAAGTAATGGATGGCATGGAAGAGATGGCATTATCTGTTGCAGAACAACAAGATATTGTCATGTGCAGTCCAGAGAAGGATAATGGCACAGAGGCTAACTTTGTTCAATCTGGAGAACCAAAACCACATCAAACAGGTGCATTAACTGAAAGGGGGAGACAAAACAAGGCCAGATTGGACAGGGCTTTGAGTAACCTGGGCTAGTGGAAGGTGTGCCTGGTTCCAACCCAAACCATTCTGTGATTCTGTGCTTATCTTTGAGATGCTTAGTGTAGTTTGTTTGATAATGCTGGGGCCTTATGTTTATTCTAAAGTTTTATGATAGTCTAAATATTACTCTTTGAAGTCATTGTCATTGTAGCTTGGTTAATCTATGTATGCTGTTAGCTAGTATGACTTACACAGGTGTTACACATTGAGCAAAAAGTGCCCCTAGGCTTGTTCTTGTAGTTTCTGTGCGATATGTAAAGGAAAAAGCTAATATAAAAGGCTCGAAGTGGAAGTAATACAGTTAGGGGTTGGTTGGGGTTTTTGGGGGGAGGGGAGGTGGTTTTGGTTTTTTCTGTTCAGTAAGTGCAGAAAATGGTACCTTTTTTCAGCCTTGGCAGCATCAGACTAACTTAATAATCTTATTTTTCAGATGTTTCATGCAATAATTTGACATCTACTGAGAGAAATCCTTTTGATATAGTAAGTTCACCTTCAGGTTCGTTTGACTAAAACAATCTACACACTACAGTACTGTTAACCTTTCCTACAGAGCAAACCAAACTCTTTAAGATGTTATTAATTCAATTCACTTAACTTACATCAAACACAAGCCACAATAACAGTCTGTCTCCCTGTTTGGGCCCACACTATTATTCCTTACTATATGTGAGTGTAGGATGAATCAAGACAATTGTAACAGAAAAGTGACTGATTCTTATCAGATTGATCCTTTAAATTGTATTTCTTGTGAATTTCCTTGTAAATATTTACTAATGTAATGAATGGGGCCTGGCTTTTTTCCCTCCACTTCCTTCTTGGAATTTTTCAGGTCTGCCCCATCCCTCTTTTTTTTTTTTTTTTTTTTTTTTTTTTTAACATAGCTTTAAATTTAAATTTTAGAACTGCCAGTAAGATTCAACAAGGAAAAGCATGTGTGCAAAATCTTTCAAATTGCTAACAGAATTTGGGTGTAGAGTTACTTGGGTCTTGTGAAAAATCCTCTTTAAAATATATGGATTACTGATTATAGCAATGAGTGTCTTCAAAACAGACCACACATTCACTTCTTACGTCTGGAAATAAGCTTGCAAAATTTCTGTTAGCAGGGCCATGGTACTTAAAGTGGCACATGGTTTTGACCTGTGGCTGTTGCTTTGGAACAGTATCCTATAGAAGCAAGCACATTTTAATAAGCTCACATCTGCTAAATGGCTGCATGGATCTGAGAGATCCATGCGTGGCTTGTTCTGAGGCTGCAGTGTGCCCATAGTACTGAGTGAGAGGCAAGAGAATTGCATGCTCCTGTTCCCTGGTCAAGAATTTTCTGCTAGTTTTTGTCCCATGATGTTTGAGTGGCCTCAGGTAGGCAGGCACCTCGCATATGTAAGTGGCTGACTGACAGTAACCGCTGTTGGTCTGGTGCTTATACATATGATGTTAGTAGAATTTGCTATTACCTTGCTTGAGATGTCATTGCAGTGCTGTTTCATAGAGTGAATAACTGTTCCTCCAATACCTCACACTCTGTTCATTCTCCCACAGCCAATGCTGGATGCTGAGCTTCCCATCACTCCAGTCAAGACCATAGCCCAGAATTTTGCAGCAGCTGAAGTATTCAATGACCTTATTGTATTTTCTCCCTTTTCTTCCTCTGGGGAAAAATGAAAATTGACTTGAAATTGAAAATATGTAAATTATATTAACAAAACCCCCAGGTATCTGGAATAGTCTGTTACCCTTGAACTGTGGTCTGAGTGAATGAATGCCTGTAGCACTTCGTAGTGGAGCTCATTAGAATATTTTGTTATGTTTTACAGTGTAGTCAGTCTGTACTGTAAATACTGCCGTATAAGTGGGATGTTCACTGGTTTTATACCTGCTGTATCCAATGATTGCATATTTTGCCTACAACATAAAGTATTTTTAGCTTTCTGTAATTCCATGTATTTCCTGTCTACTTCAAGCTTTAAAACTATTCATTTTTAAACTTCTATATTCTGACCTTACTTACCTCATGAATTATCATGAGATGCCTACCAGACTAGCTGTACTGGTGCCCTATTTCTGACGCGAGGGCGCCTTCTGAGGTAACTCAACATTTTACCTCCCTAAGCACTGTTACGTGCTCAGTCACTGCTCTGAGGATGCTGTTGCACCCTTAGGCTCTGGTATTCTGTGCATTAACAACTCCCTGAGCAGCAGCCGTGGCAGGGATTGATGCATGTCTTTTATCTTCTGGGGGAGTCTTTTCTGTGTTTAACAACCACTTGCTTTGTAATAGTAGAAACTCAGAACAAGGAATTCTGAGTCAGATAATATCTTTTCCTGGCAGTGTATTAAAATAGGCACTGGTTATTTTCTTTAAGGACACAGTTATCTATTGAGTATCTTAAGTACTTTCAAGCTCAGTCATATTCTCTGTTTTTTTCATGTGAAAATCTCTTAACCTCTTTCTCTGAACACTTGACATGCTAACCTCAGCCTCTCCTTGCATCTTGTTCCTGTGCATTCTCTTCTCTGGACTGTAATATATTTATGCATAAGGAGTATTCCAGTTATATATACTTGATTTGAGCAATAGTATTAGGAGTACAGTTGAGTGCTGTATTTTTAACCAATATCTGACTCAGCTTCTTGTAATGGTGACCTTAGTGTGATGCACACATTCTTCCTCTAGCCTTCACTTTAAACCAGACGAAGGTAATTCAAATCCCTCAGCAGAAAGCATTGCCAGTACAGCTTGAGGAGCTTGTCTGACATGAATTTTAACCTGGAAGCTGTGTACTGATTACACTGAAATAAATAGAGGAAGTTAATGTGACTTGGTGTTACTGTGCTGGAATTGACTTTGTTACTGAATTCCTGTCAACATAGATAGTTTCAAACAGGTAGCTCTTAATGACTTGCCTCCTCTGTTTACCCATCAATACTGCATTGAACAGTGAAGGCAAGGGGTTTTGGACATCTGGTGTATACACTTAAGCTGATCTTAGCAGTGTATTTGTCTAGGCTACTACATCTGCTGGAAATTTCAACACTGTGCCTGTTGTTAACATGGCATCTCTAAATGAAGCAACTGTTATAAGAGTATGAGCCATGTCAAAGAGATCTTTAAAATGTTAGTGGTGGCTATTGCTGTTCTTGTTTTGCAGACAAGACCAGGAGAATGACTCACAGCAAAGGGAACATACTTTATTTTTTACTAGCCTGAGTCATGCGGTGAATTTGCCAATAAACCTCCCCACCCTTGAAACTGGTCTTGACTCACACAGAAGTGATGAAGGAGGAAAAGCCCAAGGCTCATGACCTGTTCCATGGAGCATGTAACACTTGTACAACTTAGATCTCCCTTGAGAAGGAAGCGTGGCACATTGAACTGGGCCACCAAATGAGCAGAATGTGCCTTTGAAAGGGAGGAGTGGTGTAACTTTCCTAGCCATGGTCTAGGAAAGAGATTTTTGCTTCCTCTAGCTCTGAACCCCTTCCTGAATTACCTCCCTCTGGTCAGGCTCAGAGGCTCTCCAGCTTTCTCTGTTTTCCAGTGTTTAAGAGGACAACTCCAGCAAGGTGCTATTTCTGTGAGTTACACAGCAGCCATTCACAATCTGATAATGCACCTCCTCCTCCCCGGGGGAGGGGGGAACTTGAGTCCTTTGCTGCATTACTTTGATTCCTTTAGTGAAAAAGGAGCAACAGCTCTACCTACCAGAGCCACTGAGGCTAAAAACATCAAATGACCATCCCCCAGCTGGTGCTTGCAGAAGATGGGTTTGAAGATTGCTGCCTGAGCTCACAGGTTCAGCAGCAGAATACCACAAGCTGCTTTCCCGAGTACTCTCCATGCAAATCACTGAATCACAGAAGAGTTAGTGCTGGAAAGGACATTATATCCAGTTCCAACCCCCCCTGCCATGGCCAGGGGCAGCACACACTAAACCATGTTGCCCATGACTGTGGCAAACCTGGCCTTAAACACTGCCAGGGATGGAGCATTCACAACTTCCCTGGACAACCCATTCCAGTGCCTCACCACCCTCACAGGAAAGAACTTCTTCCTTATATCAAATCTAAACTTCCCCTGTTTAAGTTTTAACCCATTACCCCTTGTCCTATCACTACAGTCCCTAATGAAGAGTCCCTCCCCAGCATCCCTGTAGCCCCCTTCAGATACTAGAAGGCTGCTATGAGGTCTCCACACAGCCTTCTCTTCTCCCAACTTTCTCAGCCTGTCTTCATATGGGAGGTGCTCCAGTCCCCTGATCATCCTCGTGGCCCTCCTCTGGACTTGTTCCAACAGTTCCATGTCCTTTTTATGTTGAAGACGCCAGAACTGCACACAATACTCCAGGTGAGGTCTCACAAGAGCAGAGTAGAGGGGCAGGATCACCTCCTTCGACTTGCTGGTCACGCTCCTTTTGATGCAGCCTAGGATACAGGGCAGCAAATCAAGTGGTTCTGAGCCATCATCCTCTACCAAAGTGATGCGTTGTCTCTACAGCAAGAATCCAGATACTTCTACCTTTGAACCCAGCTTGCTGAAAGATACTTTGCCTTTTGGCACCTTACTAAACACAAATTTTACTTGTGAAAGTATGTTTTATTACCTCAAAGTATTCATGTAAGAAGGCGCTTTTGGTTACAGCCATATTAAAATCATCAAGTTTGCATTAAAACTGTACCACCATGGTTATATCATGGTTGGTGTGACGCTGGTGAGAGTGATGTCTCCAGCAATGCAGAGTTTGTTGATCTCGTTCAGCCTCTTCTCACGGTAGCTGTACTGCAGCAAGTGAGCATCGTTGACCGCTACCTTGAAGTGATCTGCCTCACAAAGGATCTGGAGCTGAAATAAAACCTGCACATCAGCCAAACGATAGCCATTGCATTTGTTTTAAGCCACAGGCTTGAGCAGGCTGGCACTGCCTAATGGCTGCTGCTGTTAGCCAAGTCCAGCTCAGGATGAGCTGGTGCAGCAACTTGTAGCTGCAAACACCAATGGTAACCTTTGCCTTCCCCAAAGCCCTGCCGTGCTCTTCCTGCTCCATGATTTACCCAGAGGTTGTCTCCTCATGACTATAACTGCTTTCAATAAGTGGTTCTCCACACAGTGAGAGCTGCATTCACACCAAATCTGAACCTATTCTGCAAGAGGGAAAAGCTCACAAAGAGAGCTTGGGTACTATCAGGGAAAATGCTTTATAGACCGACAGCAGTATAAATAATGAGGCTCTAAAAATAAACAGGAATAATGGAAGTGGGGAAAAGTTATACCCTGGGCAACTGAACCTGCAGGAGGGGTTAGAAGTGGCAGTGACATACAACCTGCTGTGCTGGACAGCCAGTGAAGAATACTGGGCGACTGCCCTAAAATCACCTCTGAGAGCTGGTACAAAAGCATCAAGGTCGTTACCACAAGTATTATTACACAGCCCTGACCAAATTCCCCAGTGCCTGATGCAGGTGCTGTTGAGAGACAGAGACCCAGCTGGACACGTTTCTGTCACCTTGAAGGGCTTTCCAGCTTCAAATGGAAACCTTGGAGCTGTCCTCTCCTCCTTTCCCCAGTGGTTGTGGAACATCGAATTGCAGACGATGACTTTCCTGTTGTCTTCATTGAAGCGCGGATTGAAGTGGAAGGCAATGTCATTCCCTTTCTTGAAATCCAGTGAAAACCTGCAAAGACAGTAACAGGTTTGCTGCTTTTTTTCTACAAAAGCCCTGGGCTTGACGAAAATAGCAGCAGAAAAGCAGGGAAAAGCCCCACAGACCCTTTTGGGCAATAACAGGCCATTTACATATTTATTGTGTGTAATATTTGATCTTACACCAGGTGGGTGTGATTCAGGAATGGAAAGCAAATTCCAGCTGCTGTGTTCCATCTGGCAGTGCCTCACAGAACCCTCCCCCTGCCTTTGGTGCTTGACGCCCCTTGGTACCTGTTTGGATTGGGGTTGATGGACCCTGTGACGGTTATGAGCACCCGAGGGCTGAGTCCTGCCTGCAGGTACAGCTCATAGGGGACTGTCTGGGAGACAAGGGAGATGGCTGTTAGCAGAAAACGTATTAAAAGCCAAAAGCTTGGCACAGACTGGCTCGTGGTGTGACAACCCCATGAGACAGTGGCCACCCATACCACCTCCCTAGGGCAGCCAGCCCCACATCCCTCCTATGGACAAACAAAACTCAGCAGTAAAGATGCAGAACCCCTTGTAAAATGATGGAGCTGTTACCATTGGAGGAGCCGGTCCCCCCTGAGGATGAGGGGGCCCAAATCCAGGTTGTCCTGGGGCAGGGTACGGCCCTGGTCCTGCTGGTGCTCCAGGGAATGCTCCGGGTGCTCCTGGATATGGTCCGTGTCCTGCTGGTCCTCCGGGATATGGCCCTGGTCCTCCGGGATAGGGTCCTGGTCCTCCAGGATAGGGTCCTGGAGGCCCAGGGTAGGCTGGGACCCCCCCAGGAGGTGGTGGCTGGTTCCCCCAGGAGGGCCAGCCCTGGGGCTGGGGGGCAGAGGGGTTTGGGTTGTTGCCAGTGGACAAGGCATCAGCTAACTGTGGACAGAGGGGAGAGGAGGAGCGATAGGGGTGTGACATGAGTCCTGGGGTCAGGTTGAGTCCTCCAGCATCCATCTCTCATAGCCTACAGCATGCACCACTGGTGAGAGCTCAACCACTGCCCAGCAGCTGGGTGGGGTGTGTGCCTGGGCACAGGTTTCCAGTAAACACCAATGTAACTGAGGTGGATCTGGGGGTTAGGCAGGTTAGCAAAGACATGTCCCCACCCCAGCCAAAGGTCCCTGCTGCAAGGAGAGGCAACACTTAGAGCCCCCGCATTGTTTTAAGGAATTCCGTACTTACAGAGAAACCGTCTGACATCGTTCCTGAAACGAAAAGATAAAGTCATTTCTAAGGTGCATCATCTGAAAACAGATTTTTGAGAAGAGCTACAGTTCACAGCAGCAACCGGCTGGAACGTGGTCAGTCCCCATCACATACCTGCCAGGCAGAACCGACAGCTCCAGCACCACAGAACAAACCCTCCTCTGATGCCTGCAGGAGAAATGATCACCACCATGAGCAGCTGAACAGCTCCAGGGGTGAATCCAGCCCAAACAAACTCTGGATGAAACGGGCTGCTGGGGGTGGTTGGTGCCATCGCTGGCCTTACAGTGCTGCTAGTGTCAAGCAGACACTGAACTGCAGGGACCCCTCACCATCACCCGGCCACTTGAGCTGCACTGAGGGCAGGCAGGGCCCTGCCAACCAGGCCCCTTCTGAGCGGTGACAGCAGCATGCAGGAGACACAGCCACCTCCCAGCCCTGGCTGTGGGCTGCTGGCTCCCTGTGCAGGGCTCTGGGTGGCACAAGCAGGCTCTGTGCAAGGGAAGGTGACAACGCTCTGCCCCCAGCACAGCATGTGAAGGATCAGAGCAGCTTGGTGCGATAAGTAACATGGTATCAGCAACCACCGTGTTATGGGAGCAGCTCTGTCCTGTGCACCCACAGCCAGCATTATCCACTTCCCCATTCCCCACCGCATCATCCCAGAAAGCACTTCAGTTAAAGCCTAAACAAAAATCCCCGTGTGGGCCACAACGAGCTGCATGGGGGGGACAAACGCAGCACAGCACATCGGGGAACACGCAGACACCCCATGACACGCAGGATGGATGCTCCCAGCAGGCCTGGAAAGGCACAAGAAGTGTGGCACTCATTGGGTGCAGGTCCCCTTTCTCCCCCGTGTGCCCCCCGAGGGACACACGTGCCACCCGCCGCTCCGGACCAGTGGGTAAAAGCTGCTCTACAAGTTGTATGAGCTCAGGCCAAGCCGCTCCGCTGAGGCAGGGCTGGACCATACCTGCCCACTGGATTCCTCCTGTCAAAGGGAGCATTCATGGAGGAAGGAGGAAGAGGGAGGAAAAAAAAAAACCCAGAGAGGCAGAAACCGGGAGAGAAAAGGAAAATTCCAAATTGAAAACAGAAGGAAAATTCTCTCTGAAAGAAGCACCCAGATGCAGAAAGGTGGCAGCGAGTCAGGCCTTGGGAGTGACAGACCCCCAGGGTTTCACAAGCAACAGACAACCCCTTTCCCTCGCCAAACATTCACACTCCTGCGCCCACCAGGGTTCAACCAGCATTTGTTTGAACTGTGTGAACACCCCGTATCTCTCAAAGCTGCTATTTGCCTTCTGGGGCCTTCTTTAAGCCCATGAGTTTGCCATTTGTTCACAGGGCAAAGCTGAGGGTGTGCACAAAGCTCCTGCAGGCTCCCTGGGGCTGGATGCAGCCAGATTGGGTTCGCTGGAGCGACGGGTATAATAAGGCTTGTGCTGCTGCGGCGAGGGGTCCTCCCCTGCCTGCTCTCCCCTGATCTCCCTGCAGTACCTCAGGCAGAAGCAATTTTGTTCCCTTACCCACATTTCCTATTGCTTCGGCCCCATGCAATAAGCAATTCACCTGGCAGGAGGCTCCTGTCTCGGCACCAGACCAGCCATTACCAGTTTGATGTCTGTAACCGAGGATTTGAGAACCCACTGCTCCTCTGCCCCCCGACAGTAGGGCCGGGGTCGGGGCCCAGGGAGTCACCCCCGTCACCCGCTGTCACTGCCGTGCTGCAGCTCCGCAGGGCTCACTGCCGGGCTGTTGTGAGCACAGGACGGCAGCACCTCACAGGTGCATTTCCAACAGCGTTTGGGCTGCTGTGGGTGTCACTTGGCGTCCCCTTGGCAGCTCAGCTGTGAGGAGCATCCCAGCACAGCCGCCTACAGCGCACCCCAGGTATTTCCTGTGTTCACTCAAAGGGTGAAAAGCACCTCTCTGGGAAGGAATACAAGATTTCTTCCCTTCGGTGCTACTTCTGCAGTGACTTCCTGGGTGTCTTCAGCCTCCCGTACACCAATGCTCCCTCCGCACGTGTTGTGGGGTACACACCGGGCACCCCATGAGACCCCACCACCCTTACAGTACCATAACCGCCCGCAGTCACCCCCAGCACCTCTAAAGCCACCAAGCGCTTCCGCTGCCGCCGCTACCCGCGGAGCCCCCGCGCGTCCCAGCTCCCGCTGCCCCGCACCGGGCGGCGAGCGCAGCCCCAGCCCTTTCATCGCCACCTCACCCGCGGCCCCCCCCGCCCCTTCCCCGCGGGACCCGTGCGCGGAGGCACCGCTCACCCGTGCGGCTCCTGCGGCTGCAGCGCTCGATCGCAGCGGGCAGCGGGACCCGCCCGCTCGGGGCGGGCCCGGGGGGGGGCAGCGGGAGCGGCCGCTCCCTCGGGGCAGGGCCCGCGGCACAGGGGCAGCGGAGCGATCCCTGGCGGCATCGGCACAGGGGGGAGCTCCAGTGCGTGCCTGCTGCTCACAGCGCGGAGGTTTCCCGGCCCCTGCCCTGGCAGAGCCAGTGCCTGCCGCGAGTCACAGCACCCGTGGGGCTTGGGAGATCAGCCAGCTCCAACCGCTGCCACGGGCAGGGACACCTTCCACTAGAGCAGGCTGCTCCAAGCCCCGTCCAGCCTGGCCTTTAACACCGCGAGGGATGGGGCAGCCACAGCTTCTCTGGGCAACCTGTGCCAGCGCCTCAGCACCCTCATAGGGAAGAACTTCTTCTTAATATCTAATCTACATCTGCCCTCTTGTCAGTTTAAAGCGGTTCCCCCTTGTCCTATCTCTACAGGCCTCTGTCAAAAGCCCCTCTCCAGCTTTCTTGTATCCCCTTTAGGCACTGGAAGCTTCTCTAAGGTCCCCCCTGAGCCTTCTCTTCTCCAGGCTGAACAAGCCCAGCCCTCTCAGCCTGTCTCCATAGGAGAGATGCTCCAGCCCTCCGAGTACCTTCATAGCTAAAAGACCTTAAGATCATCAAGCTCCAACCCCCCTGCCATGGGCAGGGACACCTCGCTCTAAACCATATCACCCAAGGCCTCATCCAACCTGGCCTTGAACACTGCCAGGGATGGAGCATTCACAACCTCCTTGGGCAACCCATTCCAGTGCCTCACCATCCTAACAGTAAAGAACTTCCTCCTTCACGCCCTCCTCTGAGCTCACTCAAGCAGGTCCATTGTCCCTACATCCCCAGAGCTGGATGCAGCACTGCAGCGGGGGGCTCACAGCTTTACTGAAGCTCAGTAAACCACAGATTTCCTTCTAAATTTTGTGTTCTTTTGCTTCTCTCGGGGGACCACCAAGAAATAAAAGGCTGGAGAAGCTTTGGCTTTCACCCGAGCAGCAAGGCCGCAGAGGAGCAGCGCTGGAAACCTGTTAGCGGCAGCTGTAATTTCAGCAAGCGCAGTTTTACTGCAGATTGAGGGTAAATCATCTCCTGCTTGCTCAATGGGCTTCACAACTTAAAGCCATAGAAAAGAAAAAGGCTGGTTGAGAGGCTGGTCTGCTGCGAGGCGTTGCTGTCAGAACTGAATAGAGCACAACACAACAGGACTACATCAGTTGTAAGGGACCTATAGTGATCATCTTGTCCAACTGCTTGACCAATTTGGGGCTGACCAAAGGTTATTAAGTGACACTCCCTTTAATTGGTGCCATTAAATGCATAGAAAGTACTTCTTCAAGGCAGCAGCTAAACTAAATGGCCTTGCTGATACAAACAAAAGGCAAAAATCTCTTGAGTTTGTTTTAAAGGAATTTTAGTGTAACTTCTTATGGTTCATCTCTTCTTATCTAAAAGATAAAGGCTTTCAAAGAGGGCAGCCTGCTCTCTACTGGGGCGCCAGCCTGGATTTTCACACCTTGCAGTTCTGTGTAACACTTACCACAGGGATTCAGACAAACTGAAGCTTGTCAAATGCTGATGGAAGATGCCAGGGATGCCCAAGGGATGTTTAACCAGGGAGTGCTGCTTCACTTGCCTGCCACAGCGAGCAGACCTCACCACAGTAAACAGACCCGGTGATACCTCTGGGAATGTTTTAGGGCAAAAGGACCTGGAGAGGACTGGAGCCAGTAATGCTGAAGGATCCCTGAGGCACTGCATGAGCATCTGGAGCTTCCCGGGCCTGTAAGTCAAGCACAAGGAGATGGCTGCTCAGCAGAACAACCCCTCAGGTCCTTGCTCCAGCATCTTTCTGAGACTATATTAACCAAGAGGTACACGTGTGAGAGCACATGTTCATAAAGTTGAGTAAAGGGACACACACAAAGCAGGTCTCGGTGACTTCTGCCTTCCCAGATAACCAGATAAGGCTGTATTAATTCCATAGTGCACTGCTTTTCCCCTTCCACCCTAAGACATCCCACCCCCCTCCCCCAAAAGTCTTTGGTAAGAGACATTTTCCTGAAAAACTTGTATTGCTATTTTCAGGATTTCACTTGAAGGCTCCAAACATTTACCAAAAAGGCTTCCCTGTTTTTTTCCATTTCCAATGCCATAAGCCCCATGCTTCCAGTTATGCAATGGATACACAGCGCTGAAAAAATGTTTGACCAAAAGTGAAAACATGACTCAATATTTGAGCTAATTTCTTCTCTTGAAAAAGCCAAGCAGCAGCGAGGATGAGGAGTGAGGCTGGACAGGGCTTGGAGTAACCTGGTCTAGTGGAAGGTGTCCCTGCCTGTGAAGGAGGGTTGGAACTGGATGAACTTTAAGGTCCTTTCTAACCCAGACCACTCTGTTTATGATTCAGCATTCATGGGGAGGGTGCCAAGAGCCCTTTGCATGCAGAGCTATGAAACATCCACATTCTGCTCTGCTCCCCATCGCCTGAGTCATCCCACTGTGACTCACATGGTTGGACACGACATGGAGGTGTGGCGGCTGCGGTTTGTAAGCTTGGGATAGTGAAGACAGAGTGGCTGGATTCAGTGCCGGAGCAGTAGGCAAGGGAGGCAGTGCACGGATGTGCTGGCTCTGTAGGAGACCGAAGTCCCAGAGATGTGCCTCTCCCTCGCAGTACTGTAGCGCCTTGCCATGCATGGCCTTGCAAACCAGGGCTGGCTGCTTCCCAACAGTGGATAGAAAAAGTCGTTTCTCAAAAATAAGCATGTCCTTGGGGTTTGGAAATTTTTTTTAAGCACTCATAAGTAAGTATCCTGTTTGCTTTAGAGACTCTGAAAAGAAAATGAAACCCTGCTTGGCACCACGTACAACTGAAAGCTCTGAATTGCCAACCCAAGAGGTGGCAGAGACAGAGGAGCCAGGCAGGCAGCTCAGTTACTGGATCACACCGTTTCTTAGGGACTTGGTCTCTGACATGCGCTTCACTGCGGACAGATACATACTCTTTACACAGTTTAATTTCCCTATTTTAAATGCCCAGCATTAATCTGATAGCACACAAGAGCCAAGTGATATTTAATGGTGCGCTGGTTTTAGCAGGGATGGAGTTAATTTTCTTCACAGCAGGTAGTATGGGGCTATGTTTTGGATTTGTGCTGGAAACAGTGTTGATAACAGAGGGATGTTTTCCTTACTGCTGAGCAGTGCTTACACAGAGC